GAGGGGCCCCCCCGCATCGTCCCCTCCTTCAGCGAGAAGGTGGTCAACCCCGGGGAGCAGTTCTCCCTGATGTGCGCCGCCAAGGGCGCTCCGCCGCCGACCGTCACCTGGGCCCTGGACGACGAGCCCATCCAGAGGGACAACGGGCACCGCACCAACCAGTACACCATGTCGGACGGCACCACGGTGAGCCACATGAACGTGACGAGCCCGCAGATCAAGGACGGCGGCGTGTACCGGTGCACCGCGCGGAACTCGGTGGGCAGCGCCGAATACCAAGCGCGAATAAACGTAAGAGGTGCCTGTCTACTTTTAAATATCAGAATAGGACTTTTACTGGGCTTTTGGTTTTGTTCTGTTCCCCGATAGAGCGCTTCTCCACCCCACCCTCGCCCTTTCCCAGTTGTGCCGGTCTCTTGTCCCTTATGCTCCACACTCCCCCTTCTCCCCGATCCGCCCAGCTTGCTCGCGCACTGGCGGCTCGGACTGCCTGGAGGAGTAAGCTTCCTCACGGCTTGCAGTGGGGCATTTAACTAAGTACAGATTAGTCCTGTGAACCTCAAAGAGGTGACTTTCCAAAGGAAAAGGGCAGTGCTCTGGCCCTCGAGACCGCTCTCACCCTGTCGAGCCCCCTGCCTCGGAGCCCGTGCAGCGTCAGCCAGCAGCTCCCCGAAAGGAGCCTGCGTGCAGGCCCAGGGGAAGGTGCTGGCAAGTGGTGCACTGTCCTGTAGTGGCTACGTGCCGCTTGCTTGGATTTTTGTAGCAGGGAAGCGTCCCGGGTCCCCTGTACTGCCTGGCCTGCCCCCAGTTCCTAGCTCTATCCCCTCTCCATGGCAGCGAATGCGCCTGCAGGCCCGGGGATGCACATTGCAAATGATGATGAGCCAGTACGTGAAATTGTGGAAAATGAGCTTTGATTTGTCATGTCTGTACTTTCTTTGTCTGCTAAAAGCCATGGCCACGTTAATCACTGTGTTATTATGGTGAGAGTGTGTTGTTCTGCGCGTTACAGGGAATCCTACCGGGCAAAAATCTAAGGCACAAGGTCCGGTATTAGCCTCTGCCTATTAATAATCAGCAATTAAAGCTTCCTATTTTATAGGTGGAAGGTAGACACAGTCAAGGTAGCATGAATTTATCTACCGAGAAAGAGATGTGAAGGGCTGTGCTTGTCTATGTCTCAGGCTTGCAACGGATCTAGTGGCTTTTTGGCTGGCATCCCAGGAGAGTCTGAATTTTGCTGCCATTTACCGCTAAATTTGGAGCAAGTTCATCTCCCTAGCACGAGCCGCAGTAGTGATGTTTTCAATGAGGATGTTTCGTTGTCCTTTTTTTCCCCCCTCTTCCAGTTCTTGACTGCCTGTCAGTAGATAAGATTCAGGCTTTTTTAGCCCCGGAATCGAGCGAATCCCTCAGACAGGCCCAAGGAACGTTGTGGAGCGAGACCTGAATTTTTTTCCTGCTCCTTTTGGAAGCGCCTGCCCTGCCGTGCTGTGAGCTCCCCAGCGCTGCCGAGCTGCCCCAGCGTGCCTTCCCCTCCGCGAGGCCCGAGCAGCCGCGGGCCACGTTTGCCAGCCGCACGTTTCCAACCCCAGCAACAGAAAGAGCTGGTTTAGGGACGCGGGAGGTCTGTGAAAGCATTCCCATCTTGTGAGGTTCCTTGTGCCAGAAAAGACTTGGGTGAGCCCTTGTGAGACGTTTTTCGTTGAAAGCCTTTTGATAGCGCAGCATGGGCTCAGGTGCGGTACTCTGTGCGTCCTTAAGGCTGCCAGAACTGGGGAGATCTCTGGGATGCTGGAATATCTCTCTTTGCAGCAAAATTCAGGTTGCCAGCGGGCAGCTCCAAATGGTTGGTATTTTAGTGGAGGTAAAACACATTTGCAAATGGAAGTCAGGTGCCTGTATGCAGTTCTCCTGTCAAGGACACTCAGCACAACGCAGGCAGCTTCCTTCGCAAAGAGAGCGGGGAGAGCAGCTGCGGCTGTGTCAGGGAGCGGGCCCCAAAATACCTTTCCGCTTT